TCTCTCCTTTGCCTGATGAAGTGTGAATGTGCCCGAAAGCTTGCAAATAAATAAAACAACTTGTTTGCAAATATCTAGTTGGTCTAATAAAAGATATCACCTCTTCTGCAAGTTTTGATTCCTGGTTACAGCTAAATTGCTGTGAGCTTTGTCATCCAGTCTTGCAGTCCAGACAAACCTGGAAAAGCTTAAAGGGGATTAGTGTCTAATTTGCCATCTTTATCACAAAGAAAGGAGGCCTGGGAGGTTTTCTTTTCTGATCTGTTACTTTCCCTAAGAGGCAGGAGTTCTGTCAGTGTTTGCTGAGTAACATTTTAGGAAGTTTCAAACAGGCATTTGGGCTTTTCTAGCCCCTTACTGAATGGGCAGGAGCACTGAGGCTGAATGCAGGAGTTGTCTCCCAAGGTTTTTAAAAAACAGTCATTTTCTGAAAGCCAAAACGCACACAAACAAGTCACAAACCCAAGAAAATGAAGTCACAAAGTACATGACAAAAATGATATCTCTTCTCAAATATCAATTACTTCAAGGCATTGGCAGAACCAGTTAGAATTCATGAAAGCAAAGGGCTTGACATTACAGGTATGAAGTTTGGAGGAGACGGGCAATTCTATGATGGATTTTTGGATTTAGGCACTGGAGATGTTGCTAATCTAGCCACAGAAGTTGAATTCTCTGAATTCTTCGAAAAAGAAAGTGCGCCAAATCATATTGCCACCCACTGCAGCACTTAAGACTTATTCAACTTCCTGAATAACTAACAGTCATGTACAGGAATAGGGTAGTTTCTTCTGCAGCATTTTGTGAGCTGTTTTGTTCCCCATGCATTAGAATGCATGCAAACCAGTTAGAATCTCAGGGTGGTTTTAATTAGGCCGTGCATGTTCGCCTATATTTGTTAGAGTATTATTTAGAGCCTACTGTGCCTTGTAGATTTTTATCCTATTGCCGCTGTGATATAACAAACAAAGAACACGACAACACTAATCAAAATAATTATTTTCAAATTTAATTAAGTGAACACATTAGGACATATTCAGCCATTTTGCCTGGGCTTAATTCCTCAAGAGCACACTCAGGTTTCCATTAATGTCCTCATACAGGGCTGTCCAGCTGGCAGCCCTTAAGGGGTTATTGTGAGGCCCCAGGCTCACACCCTGCCACTGCTCCCTGCATTGTCCTGCTGCAAAAGCAGCCAGTCTCCAGGCTTCCCTTTCCTCCTGCAGCTAGTGCTCCTGGCCTTCACTCCAGAGAGTGGGGCAGTGCAGCAGCATGGGGAGCTGAGACTGAATCCAGGGCTGTGCCTGAGGTGCAGAAGGCATTGAAGTTGAACAGCCTTGGCATCATATAAAAATACCCACAAAATTTTGCTCCTGGCAACCGTTCCAATTCCAGTTCCTTATTTGAAAAACTCTTTCCAAAAGAATTCCACATATAAATCACTACATGTCTTATCATGAAATATTTAACTTCTTTATATTCCATCAAAGATGTTTTAACGAGCTTTTGCCTAAGGATCTGCAAATGTCAGATAAGAACTGACGCAAACAATAACTGATCTGAGAAGAATGGGGAACCAGCTTCATGCCCCAGTTTTAGAATCATTCCCTGACATCTCGCTAACGTATAATGTGCATCTCCAAGAGCACCCGGTTTTAACAGAAATTATTTGAAACAGAAGGACATGATCCTACAAATCTCTCCATTTTTCTTGCCTCATTACAGGATGTATGTGTGTGTCAGGGGGGTGTGCATGTGTGTATAGGGAGGGGGTGTATGCACAGGTGTGTATGGGAACGTATGTGCAGACTCTTTCATAGAAAAAACAACTCTGAATTCAGTGCTACAGTTACAGGAATAGCAGTGGCAGAAAAAAATTCAGTTGCAGCAAACCCAGCTGCACACAGTCTGACCCGACCAGACCCGACCCCCCCTTACCTTGTACCGCTGGGCAGCCTCCTGAATGGGAGCCACAGCATGAGCTTGGTGTGCCCAGGACTCTCGGCAGATCAAGCACAGAGGTTTTTGGTCCATTTCACAGAAGAGCTTCAAGGCGCCTGCATGTTCCTCACACACTCGCTCCCCTCTTTGAGCTGCCCACATACTCAGTCGCTTTGTTACATCTGTAACAGTCACCAGCTGCCTGTTAGGCCTGAGGTTCCTCTGGGGAAAAGTCTCTCTGCACTGAGGACAGAAGATGTCTGAATGCAACCCTTCCTCACACGGCGTGATGCAGGCTTGGCAGAAGTTGTGCCCACAATCTGTAATCATCACTGGATCCTTGAAGAACTCCAGGCAGATGGAGCAAGTTGCAGCATCCTGGAGACACTGTATATGGTTCTCTGCAGCCATGGCTCTGAAGGGAGAGCAACTGAGAATTAGTTTCACTCCCTGGGGCCCAGAAACCTGCTCTGACCTATATAGCTGGGTGTTTCCGTTCCTGAAGAATGGCTGTTTTCTGTTGAAATGGCAGAAGTCCATGATTAAAATAACAGCTATTAAAGGCACAGTGAAAATTCTTAATGCTTTCTGTATCAGTAGTGTGGGCAGTTACCACAAAAACAGAACTTCTTAATTACTTTTAGACACTAATTCAAAGACCCAAACATATCTGAATGACACTTCTAAAAATCAAACACTTTTTCAGCCTAAAACTATTGAAAGAAGACATTTTAAGATGAACATTTCCCTTTTGCCCATAGGAAAAAAAATAAACAGCAAACACGCTTCAATTTGTTTCTGATTTCTCAAAAATCCCAGTGGCCATTTCAAAAGCTCTTCGGCCATGGACTGACATTGCATGTGTAGAAGCTCAAAACCCATTTGTAGCACTAGGAAAGTGGAGGTGACAGATGTGTGTACCCCATGTGGCAGTACTACACGTTCTTGTTTTATGCAAGAACTTCTCTATAGCGCTACATATTCTAGCACTGCAGGTAACATCTCTACAGTTACATGCCCTGGATCCCCAGCATCCTTCAGGGTGCATCAATATGAGATACTTTACTGCACGGTAGACTAATCTAGTGCATAGTAGAGCATCACTGTGTAAACTTTCACAGCAGGTACTGCACAGTAAATTAAGCTAACGCAGTTTTCTACTAGATTAACTGCTCATTAGGCACTGTGCAGTACTGCTTATGTAGCAAATTTGCTCCCAGTCAACCATACCAGCCAGGGGCCGCAGGGGATGGAGGAGTTCTCTGTCCCTGGTCCTGGCACTGGGAGCCGATCAGTGCTGGGATGGAGTTGCTTTCTGATCTCCCTGTCTTGGCGCTGCATGGTTCCCAGCTCCCTACAAGGCAGGGAATCCCCACCCAACAGGGGGCTTGATAGCAGCTGCCCTACAACTGGCACAGCCCAGCCTGGGGTTTGCTGAAAGCTGTGTCCCCCAATGTGCACAGGGCCAGGAGAGCTGTTGGCCGCAGCAGCAGCTGTCTCTTGGCACCATGCACATCAGGACTCCTCCCAGAGTGCATGGAGCCAGGAGACACCTGTTGTTGCAGCTGGCAGAGCTTTCCTGGCCCTGTGAGTATCGGGATCAGCTCTCATGCTCCCTGCCAGCACCGGGCTAGCACCCTGAGGAAGCCTGGGCTCCTTTGGCTGCTGTAGCCTCCTTTGGAGGCTCCTGGCCTCCTTTGGGGGCAGAGCAGGGCAGGAGCTCTGTACTGGGCTGCTCCCATTGGGAACAGATTTGCTCCCAACAGGGTGCACATACCTGGGGAAGGTTTACTGTGCAGTATTTTACTACACAATCAGCTTATATTGCATTAATAGCACGTGTAGATGCACCCACCGTGTTTTGCTTTCCCCAACCCCTTCCAGGCAGGAAGGAGAAAGAGTGTCTTGTTCCATGACAGCCCCCTGGTAAAGGAGAGCTGCAGCCCAGCTATCACAGTGTACTGGTGCCTTGGTTTCAGGGAAACCGGAGCTCTGCTGGCTGTAGTACACTGTAGGTATGCTGGTGATTGCTGGCAACTGTGAAATATCTCGGAAGTGTGACTCATTTATGTGTATGTTTGTCTTTCTGACTTTTGCATAAATCATATGGGGGATTTCCAACCCACTTGAAAAATGCCAAACAGTTGTGCTTGAGTGAAAGGTTTCTCCTTCACATATTGAGAACACTTGCTATGCTAAATTTCCACCTGGCTGAAGCTGATGATTACTCAGGTGGAAAAGAAAACTGGCTGTGGGCTGAAAAAAGACTTTATTGGAAGACAGAGGCACGTTATCAGCAATAGATCCCTAAAGTAAAACCTCTGTTTATGTATATATTTATATCGGGGATAGAGAGCTCAGAGTACTCATGGTAGGAACTTTGGATTTGGAACAGAAATTCATAGATTCATAGATTCATAGATTAAGGGTTGGAAG